TATGGTGGAATCCCAGCACCATTAACATAAGCTCAGTGCCCCTTCCTTCCCAAGAGCATCCCCCACTCCTCTTCTCCATTTCAGCCCCGTGACTGCTAATAAGCCCTGGGTCTCTGTGCATATTGCCCTATTTCATATTGGTTCTGTACTCCAACTGAAAACAAATGCCACCTGCCAGCATGGTGAGCTGGGTGTGTTCTGATTAGAACTCAGGGGCAAGCTGGCCCCCCTACCCCCAATGCTTCCCAGGGGCTCCAGGGTTTCCCTCCCTCCCCTCCTTTGAAAGTCCAACTCTGTTTGGTTTGCAGGCTATGATAAGATCAGCATGTGAAGTATGGTAGCTTGCCTGAAGGGCACAGTTCTACATTCTCTTTCAGAGTTAGAAGACTACAGGCACATAATTAAGTATTTAGGGAAGTCAGGAAACTTCTTTTTTTTTTTACTTTGTAATTCAGTTTTCCTGTATTGAAGCAATAAAAGGAATGATGCTTAAGATGTTTGTTTTTTTTATTATACAGAAGGTGTATTATGCAATTATTTGATTCCATATATTTTACATTGATGATCATTATTTAAATAGTGAAGAATTCAAATCTCACCTGAAAGCAAAAATATATTGATGATGATCTCTCTATAACGCAACTAGTTCAGAATTGAAAGATGCTTATATTTAAATGAGCAAGGAAATAATTATTTTGCAGCCAACATTCTGCATAAATAAAACAATGGACCCCTAAGAGTTAAAATAAGTTAGCAAAGTGAGCACTTACCAAAAAAAAATTCTGGATGTAACTTCACTTCTTATATCTGAAGTGCTACAACACTGTCTATTATATTTTATATAAGATTATAATATTTTCTCATATATGTATATAAAGAGAAGATATCAATATCTTCTATATATAATTCAATCTTTCTATATAATTAGATCTGTATAAAGAATTAAATAGATACATATAGAATAACTACACAGATATTCCAAATATTTACTAAATAAAGATAAGAAAACTCTTAGTTCTCCTTTGGTTCTCCTGATCTCCCTTCCTGGACTCATTTCCTGTGAATCTATTGTCTGATTGTAATCAATAATAATAGATAACAAAACAAAATATAAACCCAGTTCATTACTATTCAAACTCATAGCGACCCTGTACAGAATTTCTATGTGTCTTTATAG